TAAGTTAAAATCTATTTTGTTCACATCAGTTCATAACCTGGTTATGTGAGAGCAATATAACATCAATACATCAAGAATAACATGAAACACTGAAAATTAATCAACATGGATGTCCCTAAATTTTTAGATTTTTAGAATAGGAACCCTAACCTATAAATCTACTAGTACTATTGCTATACAATAAGATTTAAGAGAGATAATGAGATTTCTCTCAACCCTTAACTAAAATTTCTTATTAAGAATCAAAACCCCTACCCCTTACCTTGTACAAAGTGTGAGAGGGTAAAAAAGGAATGGGTCAAGCATTTCCTTCCACAAATCTTTAAGAAAATCCTCCATGTAGACCTCTATGAAGATAAATTGCTTCAACACTTCTTTGAAATGGGATGAAGACAGATTTGAGAAACAATCTTTTTTTAAGATGAATGAGAAGAATGTGTTTTAAGTCTTTTCTTCATGTAAGAGATAATTACTCTATTTTCCATTTTTTAACAATAAAACAATAGCTATTCACTTTTGATTCTATTTCTAACTAATTACTCGTTACATTTCTTTCCAAAAGTCAATTTTGTAACTTAGTGTAACTTAGTTTTTTTTTTCTCTCTCTTATTTTTTTAAATTGTATATTACTAATATAGTTTGTACCATTAGAACTTTTTCTTTTATAATCTTTTGGATTTCATTTCTTATTTGTTCTCTATAAGTTAACCATAAGCACTTAAATAAATATTTAAAGAGTCTAAAAAATTCTTATAAATATAAAATCATATCCTAAACATAATTTTATTTTATATTGTTAATATTCTCTTACATTTAAAATAGTTTACCCTTTTCTTTTGCTCTTTTTATGCAAAATAACTTATATCTAATATTTAAAATTTTAATTTAAATAAAGTTTCTAAAAAATTTTAAATTTAATACCTAAATTTTATAACAAATTAAATTCAAACAATAAATAATATAAATATATAAATTAGAGGGCATTATAGATTGGTTCACCTATTGTTTAACCCGCGATGAACTGAGTCGGATTTGTAACGTAGCAAGTTGTTTTAGAAAGCCCAATATAGGTGATTTAGTAGCCCAGAACGGGTCGTTCCCAATCTGGAATGGGCCGTTCCAAGCTATTAAATTTACCTGTAATTCGTGGTTGAGAACGGGCCGTTCTGGAAGGAGAACGGGTCGTTCCAAATTCTAGTACTGGCCGTTCTGGTTGGAGTACGGGGCATTCTGGATGCAGAACGGGCCGTTCTGGATGAGTCCCAGAACGGGCTGTTCTGATTTCAGAACGGGCCGTTCTGCATGTGGATTTTGCACATAACGAAGGAGAACAGAACGGGCCGTTCCGGATTCGGTACAGGCCGTTCTGGCCACTCCAAAAAGTCTATAAATAGGGGTTGAGGGCCTGGAGGAGAATGCGAGTTTTTAGAGAGAAGTTTTAGAGAGAAGGTCTCTGGGTCTATGAGCTCCTTTCTCTCCCAAATTTCTCTGTATGATTCCTTTTCTTCTCTAGACCACTAATTCCTTCTGTCATTTCTTGAAATTCAGATTAGAAAGATTGATTTGGGTGGATTGCTTTTCTTCTCTAGACCACTAATTCGTTCTGTCATTTCTTGAAATTCAGATTAGAAAGATTGATTTGGGTGGATTGAAGTTCCGAGTTGAGCCTCGAAGGGGAAATTCTACTTTTGTTCAATTTTTGGCTATCCGAGCCAATCTTCAGGTGAGGGAAGCTAGAGTGTAGATTGACTAAGTTGTTTTTATGTTGTTTATATAAGTTGACCTTATAGATGAATTTTAAATATGTTGTATATTGTTGAAGTTGTTTATAAAGTTGTTAAGTTACATTAAGTTGATATTGTAATGACTATAGTTGTTAAATAAGTTGTTTGCATGTTGTAAGTTGTTTATTGTCGTTAAGATGTATATTGCTGTAAAGTTGATGTGATGTCTATTGCTGAAAAGTTGTATGTTGTTTAAGTTGTTATGTTTATTAAGTTGTGAGTTGATTGTGTTGTTCAAGTTGAAAGTTGATTGAGATGATGAGTTGAAAAGTTGTGTGTTGTGTAAGTTGTTGAGCTGATATATGTTGTTGATTTATAAGCTGATTAAACTGTGATGATAAGTTGTTGATCACTAGGACTAGGGGAGATGTTTTCGAAGTTGTTCATCCCATTGTGTGGATTGAGATAGTTGTGGTGCTCTGAGAGCCCAATTTGTTGAAAAACCCTCCTTGGGAAGTTGTCCCTTGGAGTGGACGTTGTATTGTTCTCCTCTAGGACTTAGTTGATCCCGTGTGTGGGCAAGGTCGAGGCACACGTGTACAAAGCGACCACGGTATAGGGGCCAGGCCGAGCTATACTGATTACATTTATTATTCATATATATATATATATATATATATATATTTGTTCATGTTGTGTATTTATGAGTAATCCAATTTTATTATTTATCTTAATTTACAAATTTTTAGTGTGATTCCATTAAGTGTAGAGACCACGGCAGTTGTTACAGGATTATCCAATTTATCAAATCTAGTATTATACATATTCTATATAAACAAACTGTTTTAATGTCATATATTGTCACCATTTAAGTTTTTTTTTTTTAGCTCCAATGGTTAATTCATTATGTGATATGAATCCTTTTTATTTTTGGTGAATTGATTTTAAAAACTTTCATCTCTCTTACTTTAAATATTTGGTAACATAATTCTAAGAAATTATTCTTTGCATATGATAAACAAAAGCCAAATTTTCAATGATAGATTAAAAGAGGAAAAATCTACATACTTAAAAATACAATAATATATATATATATATATATATATATAATTTGATTATTTAATTATTAAGTTTAATATATTTTTAAAGTTTATCATTGATTTAATAAAGGTGACAGTAACATTTTTTTTATTTCTTTTAGTTTTTTTATTATGGTAATTGAGTTTCTAATTTGATTATTTAATTAACAATGTTGAATATTTTTTTATAAAATATTTTATAAAGTTTATCTTTCATTAAGTTAATTTAATTTGAGGTGATTTAATAATGATCAGCAAGTTGATTATCTATTTATTTTTTGTTTTATTAAGGTAATTGGGATTTTTAATCAGCATATCTCGATACGACAAGTTATTTCAGTTATCATGTTGTTGTCTTTTTTAATTATTATTTTTTATCACTTGGGAGTATTTGGAGTGTTTTCTTTTTTCTGATCTGACATTTTTATTGGCTTAAATTACTGATCATGAATTATTTGCAATTCTATAACATTCGAAATGATTTGGAATTTTAAATATCAAAAATTGATTTGTTTGCTAAATTTATTAGATAATTCTTAATTTAATATTTTTTTCAATGACTAGCATCACTATAATGTTCCACTTTTTCTTATTCATGTGTAGAAAGTAAATATTTCATCTTGACTTAATATATCAAGTAACAAGTATGTGATCAAAAAATAGGCTGCTAATTTTTTTTACCAGTCAACATTAAAAAAAGTGAAACACGTTATATAAAAGGAAAATGTTGTCTAACTTCTTTATATTTCTTAAACTTATCAACTCCTTCCAACATGATGTTATTACATATTTTTTAAAAAAAATTATGAGATTCGTTTATTTTAGAAGTAAGTCAATTTAAATTTATTTTGTTCAATAATTCATGTTTTACAACAAATTTTAACAATCTAATCATTGAATTTAGAGTTCTTAATTCATAAATTAAGTTTGCAAAATTTTAAAAAATTTAAAAATTATTTGATACTTCGTTTCATTAATTTAAATTGACGGATAATCATAAAATTATTTTATATATTAATTTAAATTAATGAAACAAAGTATCAAATAATTTTTAAATTTTTTAAAAATTTGCAAATTTGATCTATACATTAAAAACTTTAAATTCAACAGTTGAATCGTTGAAATTTGATGTAAAACATGAATTATTAAACAGAATAAATTTAAATAGACTTACTTTTAAAATAATAAATGAATCTCTCTTCTAACAAATCCTCTAAAACACTTAAATACTCAACACATAGTTATTATTAAAGATAATAATTATTCAAAATTACAATATTACGTATTTCATTTTAATTCCTATTATTTTCATTTCAAATTGAAGTAATGAACACTATAAACTCTTATTTTCATCGTATTATGGTTTGTTTGACAATGATAAAAAAAATCAACTTCTATTGCTATATTATATTAATATATATTTAAATTTCTTACATTTATTATTTTTCAAAATTAAAATTTTTTTTTATAAAATAAAAATATCATATACACATAGTTTATTGCGTGCATTACATAAGTACTTACACTAATTATTAAATACGTGAATAAACTTATAATTTATATGAATCGTGATTAGATGAATATTATTGTGAATGCATTGTCATTAAAGTTAATCATTTATACATTATTAATATAAAATTTATTTACACTAACAATTAATTAAATCTTTTAATTGTGTCATGTCACTATAAACACATTTATTTTTAACAGTGACATAATACAATTAAAAGATATAATTAGTTATCAGTTTAAAAAAAATTTACACCGATAGTATATAAGTAAGTGATTAACTCTAATCATTAATCTATTAAACTCATGAACCCATACTTTTTTTTAATCTTGGATAACACTTGTATCCCATAACTTAATTATTACATAATGTATCCCACCAGATTCATGAAACTAACAACGACTTTAACAACAATAAACCGACACTTTTTCATTATAATTTTGGACCTGGTGGTCCCCTATCGATGCCTGAAAATTTTATATTCAAACTCGTGCAACGCACGTAATGTACCGCCAGTAAAAAATAAACATGAAACATGAAACATGAAACATGAAACATGAAACGACATGGACGAGGCGCGCGAGTGGCAATGTCGCATTTACCCTTCCTCTATTGAACGACGATTTTACCTTATGCCGTTTTATGTGGTGCCGTGATGCATATAAATACTATACTTGGATTCCAAAGCACCACGAGACACATTAAACATTGACTATATACTTGGTTTCACCCACTCTTTTGATTTTTGGGGTTTTAGTTTCCTAGGAAAAGAAAAATGACGAAACAGGTTCTTCTTTTGTTCTGCTTCGCCTCTGCACTCAAACTTTCAGCTTCAGAGTCCATATCTGCTTCTGTGCAGCCTCACGCAGCTGAATCCTTCTCTGCTGGCTATATTCAGGTACTGCTACAAGATTTTTTTTGTTGACACCCTTTTATTTATTTATTTTATTTTGGAGCTGTTTTTACACATGATATTTATTTATATATATGATCAAGACCATAGTTTTATTTTATTTATTTTATTTTATTTTAATAGATGAAGACTGCAGCGAACTGTTCTTACCTGGTAGTTGTTTCTACAAGCTGTTCATCGCCCAAGTTCACGACGGATAAGATCAGTATTGCGTTTGGAGATGCTTATGGCAACGAGGTTTTGCTTTTTTTCTTCTATTAATTTCGAGATTTTGTTTATTTATTTCTTCTGCTGTATCTCTGTGTATGGGGTTTTATCTGTTCAAGATCTAAAGGAAATAACATATCAGTTTTTTTTAGGAAATATCGATGAATATATTGTTTCTAGAAGAGTTATAAACAAACCATTTTTTTATTATTATTTTTTTATGTACCAAAAAAAATTGAACACCAGAATCATGGTCTTGGATATTCAGTTATTTGTTTTCGGAGTTTACAATGTTACTTTCGTGTTAAATTTTATTTATTCACTTTCGAGAAATGCTAGACAGACACTCTTTCTAGTTTTTTT